CCTCTTCTCTCTCTCTCCCTCTTCTCTCTCTCTCTCTTCTCTCTCTCTCTCTCTCTTCTCTCTCTCTCTCTCTCTCTCTCTCTCTCTCTCTCTCTCTCTCTCTCTCTCTCTCTCTCTCTCTCTCTCTCTCTCTCTCTCTCTCTCTCTCTCTCTCTCTCTCTCTCTCTCTCTCTCTCTCTCTCTCTCTCTCTCTCTCTCTCTCTCTCTCTCTCTCTCTCTCTCTCTCTCTCTCTCTCTCTCTCTCTCTCTCTCTCTCTCTCTCTCTTCTCTCTCTCTCTTCTCTCTCTCTCTTCTCTCTCTCTCTTCTCTCTCTCTCTTCTCTCTCTCTCTTCTCTCTCTCTCTTCTCTCTCTCTCTTCTCTCTGTCTCTTCTCTCTGTCTCTTCTCTCTGTCTCTTCTCTCTCTCTCTTCTCTCTCTCTCTTCTCTCTCTCTCTTCTCTCTCTCTCTTCTCTCTCTCTCTTCTCTCTCTCTCTTCTCTCTCTCTCTTCTCTCTCTCTCTTCTCTCTCTCTCTTCTCTCTCTCTCTTCTCTCTCTCTCTCTCTCTCTCTCTCTCTCTCTCTCTCTCTCTCTCTCTCTCTCTCTCTCTCTCTCTCTCTCTCTCTCTCTCTCTCTCTCCTCTCTCTCTCTCTCTCTCTCTCTCTCTCTCTCTCTCTCTCTCTCTCTCTCTCTCTCTCTCTCTCTCTCTCTCTCTCTCTCTCTCTCTCTCTCTCTCTCTCCTCTCTCTCTCTCTCTCTCTCTCTCTCTCTCTCTCTCTCTCTCTCTCTCTCTCTCTCTCTCTCTCTCTCTCTCTCTCTCCTCTCCTTTTTTTCCTTTTCTTTTTTTATGACAGGCTTATCTAAAATTATGAAATGATAGATGTAGGACTGTTAAGATGCTCTTGTTTTTTTCCCAGAGCAGTCACATTTCCATATCATATGGAAATGTGACTTCCAATACTACTAATATTGACATTGTTATCATTCTTATTGATAATATGAGTATTAAATGGTTATCAAAATATTAATAACATCAAAGACAGTAAAATAATAGAAGTGAATCTTTCAAAAAAGGAAGGAAAAGGATAAACAGATGAAATAGATAAAACTAATAGCTTGGTGACTAATCACTAGTAGAGCCATCTATGTGTAAAGACAACAGATCAAACTTTTATCACAGTGGGCATGGCATTGTAACCATGCTCATTGGGTTAAGCAGCTATAATGCAAAGCAAGCTAGGCACAAAAATTATATGTAGAAAAGTAGACAGATAAAAAATATATACATACCAGAATTAGAAATGTAATATATTGCCAGAACTTAGTAGCTCCTTTGCTTATCTATTTCTACAGACCAGTACTGAAAAACAGACACAACTTTAGCACCATTTTGCAGAGTCTTTTGAATATATGAATTGAGATAAGAAAATGTGTTGTTAGACAGTTAATGAAGCTTTAGTCAATATGAAGTATGTTATTTCAATTAGGCCTCAATACAGTGAATGCCTTGATTTCATAGGAGCATGGATGCCAGCTCCACACGTACCAAACTGTCCTCCTGGCCTTGAGTACCTCACACAGATCGACCAGATTCTTGTTCAACAGCAGGTTGAATTACTTGAAGGTAAGTTAGTTATGTTTCATTCAGTGTCATGTCAGAATTCTAATCCAGTTATATCAAGATCTATTAGCAGACTCCACTTTTAGGGAGGAGTGTCCAGAGTATTGCAGACTTTTGATGTCCCATTTTTAGCCTCATATCTTAATGTTAGTTTTAAGAGATTTTGAAAGTGGCGTATTTTTGCTCTCTTTTCATTACATTATTTCCTTCCCATATAACAAAGTCCAAATTGATAGATTACAGTAATAGTAATTTTCATTTTTGAATTAGCATCTCTTTTTGTTTACTGTTGCTGCTTTGCAGTTAAAAAGTAATATCATTGCCATCAAATATGTTTTGGTTAAATAAAGGTTATATGGCCACTAGATAGACATTGTAGTCATTGTAGACTTTCACAATCCATCAGCCCCCCCCAGAGGTAATGAATGAGAAACAGACTTCTTCTTTCTTGTTATAGGGTTTTAGTCTTTGATGAGGTAATTCTTGGGCTGTTTCTTTGTGTTGTCTTTGATGAGGTAATTCTTGGGCTGTTTCTTTGTGTTGTCTTTGATGAGGTAATTCTTGGTATTTAAGATTCTTTTGAAATTTGATTCCCACTGTTTATTATTTTTTAATTTGATTTCTTCTATGGTACAATTTAGGTCTTGTGGATGGGCATGGGATTATTTATTTCATGGGCTTTCTTTGCTGCTAGATCAGCAATTTCGTTTCCCTTTATATTTTTATGTGATGAAATCCATTGGATCATAATCTTCTGTTTTTGTGCTGAGAGGAAGTATATTTGTTTTTGTATTTTATATGTGATTTGTTTGTAGTTTAGTGGTTTGGGATTTTGTATTAGTTGTAGTGATGACTGTGAGTTGGTTGATATTACTGTTTTAGTCAGTTTGTTATTTATTATGTAATTCAGTCCTTGTTTATGGCAAATAATTCTGCATGAGTGGTTTTTATTTTAAGGGGTAATTTCTAAATAGTTGTTATATTTTTGGTTTTGATAAAAATTGCTGGTGATGTTGATTCGGGTTCTTTTATCTTTGAACCATCAGTGAAAATTATGTTAAAGTTTTTATAATATGAATTTATTAACTGATATTATTTTTTAATAATAATTTGATGGGTATTTTGCGTTGTACTGTCCCTAAAGTTTGCTTGTATGTTTTCTGAAATATGCCATGAGGGTATTGGTGATATGTTTGGTTTCTATTTTATTGGAGGCTTCTATTAGTTTTTTGTTACTTGTTATTAGGGTTATATCATCTGCATGTATTATTTTTTTCAATTTCTTTTGATAATTTTAAGTCATTTAATAATACATTGAATAAAATTGGCTTATTGGTGAGCCTTGAGGTACTATATATTGTTCCTTTTTCCGAAGTTTGATTTCCAATTTTTATTTGGAATGTTCTTTTTCTAACATATTATTTAACCGTTTTAGAGGTTTTCCTCTGATGCCTAGTTTTAACATTTTTATCAGTAGTGCTTCATGATGAACTGTATCAAATGCTATTTCTAAGTCAATGCATGCTACTATGATATATCTTTTATCTATGAAAGCTTTGTTTATGTGGCTGTCTATTGTGTAGTGCATCTGTGGTATTTTTATTAGGTCTGAAACCTATTAGGTCTATATCTAGTTTGTTGTTATGCTCTAACCACGATATTAATCTTTTTGTATGATAATTTAAAATATTTTGCCTATACATGAAGTTCTGCTAATAAATCTGTATGAGGTTGTTTCTGATGGATTTTTACCCAGTTTTATTATGGGGTTTACTAGTGTTTTTTTAATGATTCAGGATTATTCTCCTTTGATCCAATGTGAGTTGATATTTATTGAGATTGACTCTAGTATATTGTTTGGGGCATTCTTGTAAAACTCTGGTCCGAATGCTTTGATATTTCTTTATTTATTTCATTAGTATTTTTTAAATTAAATAATCTTTCTTTTTCTAAGTCTGACAGAAGTTTTTTGTTTTTTTTTACTTACGGTTTCCATTTATTCTTTTTAAAAAATTTCTAGTTTTTGTGTAATATCTGTTATTGGCAGATAATGGATATTCCATTATATTTGTTTTTCCTGTTAATTTCTTTAGGAAATTCCATATCATTCTTGTTGGGGCTTTGAAATTTGATGTTTCACCGAACTTTTCCCATGATTCCTTTTTTGTTTATGTTATTATAAATCTACCTTTTGCCAATAATTTTTTGTATTCTATTTAGTTTGTTAATGTTGGCTTTTCCCTCCATTTGTTATAAGCTTTATTTTTTTCTTTTATGATATCATTGCATTCTTTGTTCCACCATGGTTTATTTGATTTATCTTTATATTGTCTTGTTTCTAACATAAGATATTTTAGGGATGTGTTTTTTATAAGTTTTGTAATTTCTCTGAGTGAAGTTAAGTTTCCAGCTTCTGTTGCATATAATTCACTTTGAATATTCGTCCACCCTTCTTTAGTATATTGCCACTTTTTTCTTTTAGTAAACTACTGTCTTTGTATGTTTTTTATAAATTCTGTAATTTCTCTGAGTGAAGTTAAGTTTCCAATTTCTTTGGTATATAATTCACTTTGAATATTCGTCCACCCTTCTTTAGTATATTGCCACTTTTTTTCTTTTAGTAAACTACTGTCTTTGTATGTGCTATCTTTAAATATTATTGGTAAATGGTCGCTATTTAGATGATATGCTGTTTTTAGATGAATATGGCTAAATGTATGGTTGATCCTTTGGCCGTTTTAGGATCCACTCTAGTTATTTGATTTTTTAGGGTTAGCATCATTAAATTATTTTGAATTAACCACTTTATTATGTTTATTGCTAGAGTTTCTAATTTGTCGCTGTATCTATCTCTTAGTTTGATTTCTTTGAATTGTAAATCATTTTTAGCACATAGAGCTATGCCTCCTCCTACTTGATTTAGTCTGTCTTTCTTGATTAGTGTGTAGTTGTTTAGGGTGAATTAATCTCTTTCTTTTAACCACGTTTCCATTATGGCTATTATGCTTAGAGTCTCTTTGTGTATTAGGTAATTAAAATTGGTTTTCTTATTCAACACAGATCTTGCATTCTACAATATAAAGTTCTTCATTTTAAAAATCAAACAGATCTTTAAGCATATTACTAATATCATTTATTGCCTCCATTATGTTTTGAATTATTGAGTTTAAAATGTTTATTATTTTTGTTATTATTTTAAATATGTTTTTAGTTATTTTTGTCCTGGAGAAATTCTCTACATTTTTTTCATTGTCATTTGTCTTCTCTTTGTGTAATATAAGGTTCAGTAATGACCATGTAATTGGTGAAGTCTTTTTGTTTGGTGTTTATTTTGGATTTGTTTTCTTCTTGTTTATGTTGTGTTTGTTTGTTTGTATCTAAACATGTTGTTGGTTGTGTATTGC